GAAAATACATAAAAAAACATTATATATCTACCGTCAACATACAATTATCCAGCGAAAACAATAGATCCGAAAATAAATCTTCAAATCAACAAAAATACAAGATCAGTCATAAATCAATTATCGATTTTCACATAAATATTTAGAAGATAACGTTAAATTGGCAGGAAAACATATAAATATATGTGTTTTATTAATAGTTAATTAATAATTTTAAAAAATAAAAAAAAAAAAACAAACAAAGGGTTACCGTCGTTACCTTTCTCACATGCGCTCAAATGAATCTTCAATTTCCATGTAATTGTTAGTCCGATCGGAAGTAAGAATCGAGAATGATTTCAATTTTCACTTTTTTTTTTGTAAAATCAACAAAAAAATTTGTGAAAAAGGAAATCGAAGAGCTCGATCTATACAGAATTAGAAGGCTCAGTGAACTAAGAGTCCAAGTATACTGAACAAATCGAAACATTTTTGTTAAGGTAAGAGATGATTCAGACAACAAAAACAAGAGAGAAATACAAGCGGCGGAGAATTCGGATGAGGAAGAAATGAAACCCTATCGGTTTCAGTACACTATTTATACCACTTTTAGAATTGATATCGGCCGTTCGATTCTTTCTGTGCGAATAAAGGCCATCCGATTCGAGCCATATAAAAGAAATAAAAAAAAACCTAACAAATAATGGAAGTTGGGCTGAAAAATATGAATGCTTGGCCCAGCTGTATAATTAAAGTTTGGGCCAGATTTTTTTAAAAAAATGCGGTCCGATAATAATAGAATCAAATTGGTTTTTATCTATTAAGCCTAATGAATGTAATTATTTAGCCCATTAGATTAAGTTTCTAAATTATTATATATTTAGGCCACACTTAGAAAATATATATTTATTTTATTTTATATATTCTCAATACATGTGCTAATAATAAGTTCCAATTGTACAAGATTTTGTGTATCTATTTTATCTTATTTGTGTAATAATATATTTTAAACCTTTTATTATGAATTATTAATTATTAATTTTTTATGTTAATTGATTATCTATATTATTAATAGATTATTTCTACAAGATCTTGGAGATCATCTCTTATCAGTGGAGCATCATTTATTCCTCAAGAAAACAACAATCGTTTGGACAGTGTTTCATATCAATATCGAAGTGTGTTGCATACTACTCAAAGTGTACCATTGTCAGACATCACCAATGGTAAACATTATTGAAAATTAAGTTATCATTAATGTTTTTTATTTATTTACAAGCATATATTTTATTAACATTTTTTTCTTATGTAGTATTTGAAACAGACCCTACATTGACTTCAATAAATACGACATCAAAAATTATTGGATCAGGTGATACACTTATATTTTGTCCAATTACATTACAAATGTTGTGCTATATTAATATTGTATTTAGTTATACAATAATATCTATTATCTATATCTTACCATGTGTGATCTATTTATTTGTGA